GGTGTGCAAAAACCGGGGCTATGGAGCGTGGGCGGCGGAGAGGATCCCACAGAATCCCCGGGGGGCTCCGGGAAAGGCCCGAGGGAGGAAAGAGCCCGAGCGGGACCAGCGGCGAAGGAGGGAGCGAGCGGAAGCCCGGTGGCAACAGCAGGAGAGAAACCCGGGAACAGGGACCCCGGAGACAAACGGAGTGGGGCAGACACAAAGCTGCCGACTTCGGCAGTAGTCACAGCAGCAAAAACCCCCTTCCTTGACTTTTTTCCTTTTTCTTTGCAGCCTAAACTAAGAACTGGTCTTTTTTTGCAAACCCTTTTGTTTATCAACCTGTTTCAGTTTCACAGTGTGGGTAAGGCGAACAAAACGCTACCAATGGAGAGACTGTCCTCCGCAAAACAAACAAACAAAAAAAAAAAACAGAAAGAAAAAAAAGGGGGAAGCGAGGGAAGCAAAGTCCCTTTGCTGAATGAAGACACCCTTCCATAGCTAATAGCCAGAATTGTTTTTAAATGTATGCATAGCTGTATTTTTGAAAATTTTAAAGTTTTCACAATAACAATTCTCCTTAAGTCCAAAAGCCAAATTAACACAGAAAGACATATATTTGCCTTAAAAATAGAAGTATATATTTTATCCTTGAACTATAGGAATGTTTATATGTATTTGAAATTTAAATTGAACATGAAGTAAAATATGTTTTTACAGGTTATACTATCATAAAAAACAGAAAACATATATTACTAATCTAAGGGTGAGAAACAAAAAACGCCAATTTCTCAGTTCATAACCAAAAGAAACTGTAAAATGAAACCCAAAGGTATGTTTGTATGATGTGTGTTCGATGGCCATCGAGTATGAATGTGTAAATGTATGCATGCGTGTGAATATATAATAATTAATATGTTCTGATTTATACACAAATGCACATTACCTCACATATGCACAAACACCCTTAGATAAAAAACAGAAAACATATCACCCCAAGTTGAATAGAATTTCATTTACAGAGATGTTTTAAGTTAAATAAAAGTTTTCAAAAGCAAACACTAAAAAACTTTCAGGTAAAAGTCAGGAGCACACGAACCCTGAAGTCATCAAGTTATTAAGTTTGGTTCAAAATCAATTGTTTATAAGTCAATAGGATCTTTAGAGGATAACTTAAGATTTTATGAGTAATTTCTAATAAGAAATAATGGAAATAAGTTAAGTTGTTTAAACAAGTTTTATATTAATCCAGAGTTATTTAGTTTAGCATTGTTGGGAATTTTTCCTTCTTGCATTTTGTTCCTTGTTTACTTTTCTATATCCAAAAATGTCTGATAGTCTTTCTGATTGGTTTAATGCTTTTAATGTTAGTGCTAAGTTTAAGAAAATAATTTTCGTAGCAATATGCAGAATGCCTTAAAACAGCTATGATTCCTTCACATGCCTTTATAATGCCAAACCTTGTGGCCCAAACTATTCTGACACACAATGCCTTTGCATAATCATACTTTCCATTTCAGTTATATAAAAGGCTGTACATTGCCTTGAAAAAGGAGCCTCCTTGCTCACATTAATTTCACTTGTGGTATTAAAAGTAAGACTGCAATATTTCTTGTTAGATCCATTTAAGAATACATTTGCTTCTAAAATGCAGCTATAGAATTTGTTATTACCTCACTCTGAACCGATACATCAAAGCATTGATAAGTT